ATCGTGCACAGGGGTGGTAATCTCAATAGTAAGTGACAAAAATGGAGAAGGATATGCATTGTTACTTGATGGACCCTCGTTTGAGGAAATTGCACGAGCTAAGTTCCCTTATGGCCTTCCATATGGACTGCATGGCTGCTGGATCCCAAAGACCTGAATTATATATATATATATATATATATATATATATATATATATATATGAGCATTAATATGCATATGATAATTTGCCTAAATAAAGACTTGTGATAAGAGTATCTTAGTTTGATGCAGATGATACTGATATTATTATATAGAACATGATTTTATATATGCAGAGTATCTTTTCATTTCGTCTTCCTTGGTTTTTCCCTTTTGCGGTACAGAAAAATTATAATAACAATGAAAAGAAAAAATCAGAACCCAAACCAGTGCATGACTTATGGCAAAGCGGAATCACAATAAAACATTTGGCTGAAAGCTGCATGCTACAAATTCAAAAGCCGCAAAGCCTCGGGTTAAACTGCTTAGCAGCAATTTAATTTGGGGAAACAAAAAGTTCAGGTCCATAAGATCACTCAGGTCTGTATAAACTGCATCCACATCGTCTAGTTCAAGCAATTTGGCCATCAATTCCTTGTTCAAGTCCATTGCCTCATCACCAACCTGGGTGCCCATAAGAAAAAAGGGAAACAGGAAAAAAGGGTGGAATTTCACACCAAATCCAGTTCTTGAAAAGGACTTGGTACAAATTGGAAAACACTCAAGGGGTTACTTTGTAATTAATATTCAAAGATTAGATTGAGTTATCTTAACTAAGCCAACCCCAGTGATTAATCCCATCGGGAAACATACAAACCAATTAGTGGACACCACAAGCAGGGAGCTCTTTGATACCCAAAGTAAAGTCATTTTTCAATACCCATTTTGAAACGTTTGCGAAATCCAAACTTTCATTCTATTAGCAACATTAGTACTTGGCCGTTAGATTTCCGTCAAATTCCCATTAGTTGTTAACGGAAGTGGTCAAAATGGAGGAAAATTTTTCTTTTTTTTGGATCATGATGAAATCTATATATATGACACTTGTACCATTTTTTTTTCACAAAAATGCAGCCTCCATCCTTTATAAGAAAAAAATTTGAAAAAATCGAAAAAATTTTGACAAAAATAGAGAAAAATGAGAAAACATGGTTTCTTCTCTTCTAGTTCAAGTTCAAGTAGTAGTTCTTAGAATAATATTTTTACAATAAAAAAACAAATTTCCCTCCATTTTGCGCACTTCCGTTAACAATTAACGGAAATTTAACGGATCTAACAGTCGGGTATTAACGTTGCTAACAGAATAAAAGTTTGAGTGCTGATTTCGCAAATGTTTCAAAATAAGTACTGATTTCAAAATGACCTTTACTTTGGCTATCAAAACTGCAATTTACCCTTATTAAAAGGGTGCGTAAGTTTTGGTTATTAATATCATACGACACTTGGTGATCACTTATAAGAAGACAAATAATACAAATTCATCTCCATTATCGGCATACTCCTCATGCGTGATAAGGGAAGAAACTCGAAACTAATGCCCATTTCATATGTTATTCCCTCCCACAAGTAGTTTTGATAATATATGCCTGTGTAGTTTTCCATTGAACTCACTATTTTGTAGAGCCCATGCCCATCACCAAAGTGTAGAGGTCGTTTGACTATCAAAAAATAAAAAATAAAATAAAATAAAAATTAATTAAAT